ATGTGACTCGATGACGCAACAATATTGATATTCTTTATTTATTGGATTGCAGGGCACATTTTCGAGCAAATGTCGAACAATTCTGTATATATTATGTTACAAAAAAACTATAAATGTATGTTTACTTACAGAATTTTTTGCTTTAGCATTATTCGTCTATTTATGCCGATTTAAAAATAATGAAAATACCTCTAGATGGCACCACATTTCAATAAAGAGCAGTTTTAAGTGGTGGTTGCATAATAAATGTGCTTAGTTAACTGTGGATTTTTGGTGAGTACAAATTTGATCAAGATTAACAGGTGTACAGTTTAATTCGTTGTATTCTGCTCTTTATAGATATCCTCATATCGTCAGAATAATCTGCAGCGGCAGAAGATGTCTTATTCAACTGTTGAAAGAGGCCGTCCAAATTCGCTTGACTACAAGGTTTATTTTCGTAAGTTACGTATTGGTATATTTAATATATATATTTTAATTACAGTTGACACTTCGTTTTAATTTTATGCGTAAAATTCAGGTTGAAGTTTTTGAACTAACAGTTAGTTGAGTAACGTAATTATATCATAAAGTTGTAATTGTAAGATCTGTTGAAGCAAGCCACTGAGTAATGTTTTATTATTATTATTATTATTATTTGTTTGTTTATTCATTTTTATTTGAAGATTAAAATTTATAGTGAAAATAGCAAGGTGTACAAAGCCCAACATACAATTCGAAGTAGTCTACAGATTTTTTTCTCATAAATGATTAACTCGATATTAAACATGATCATATTTATTCAAGTATTCTAAGGAAGTATCCAACTTCCAAGTTCTCTGTGTTAAATTATGTGCTTTATTTTTAAAAATCTACCCACAACTTTTATATAATTCAAGGAACTGACCATTCACATTCACATGACAAACTTGTTTTGTAACCCATACCTTGCATCTTTACACTTTTACTGTTTTTACTTTTGCTTCAAAGGCTCAAAGTAATACATATTAATATATTCTGATTGCTCACATGTTCTGGTTCTTGAATTCTTAATATTTTTCTAGCTTTGACACTGTATATTTTACTTTAAGAAAAATAAATAAAATAGCAAGCTAGAAAATATATTTTTGTCTTGACTGAAGCCACTGTTGTGGCCTGTGAAACAATTTTGGACAATATTACACCAGTGCAACAATCCATTTCTTGCCCATGGGAATGGAAATGTTGCATTGTGGGGATAATAGGAGAAGCAACAAAATTTGGGTACACTCTGGAGAATCCACCCTTGCCAAAAAAAACATTTCTTGCACAACTTTCAATAACTTGCATCAAGCTTTTCATCATTTATTACCAATTAATTTGTACTATAAGCTTTTCTGTTTGTGTCTAAGGTTTTAAAATTGCTGGTTGGCTATCACATGATAATTCTGTAGTGTCTGTTCCTGACCATTATTTGAAGTTGGCTATCAGTTGAGACACGCATGAGATCTGTTAAACTTTTTAACCCTTGGTAGTCACCTGAAGTTATCACACATTTTGTTTCTTAGTTGCAGTTGTATTCTCTTTAAATTACTACTGTTGGAAAAAACTTGTTACAGGTTTTTGAGTATGTAGTGCTTTGTGAATGAATTGTGATTTTTGTATAGACTTATAGATGGCAGCATTAATTTAATATCAGCATGACTGTATACAATTAAGAAAGACTTGTAAGTTAAATATACCTGTACTTTCTTTAATTAAAGCATCCCCTCCCCAAAAAAATTGTCTCTGAATATATTCCAAAAGGTTGTTTCCAGCAACCTTTACATGCTGTCTTGGGGTAGTACAAGGATTCTGGGATTGTTCTAGAATTTGTTTGCACATAAACTTACAAATTACTTGGAAAACTAAGCTAACGCACTTACCTTTACCATTTAAAAATATTTCACGTCAGTTAAGAGCTCTTTCAGGTATTTGATAATATTTGAGCATGCACAATGTACTTTCAACTTACAATCAAAAGAATCACTTGGATAATTTTGCTAACTGTGAGAGATTGCAGAGCATGTACATACGTACACATGTACGCACACACCCTGCTTTTAGCAGATTATGTGTATAATATTAATAATATACTGTTGATTATCTTCTTAATTAGAGTATGCTTATTTCAACATTTATTTGAGTACTGAGATGTATTGCATATAGCTAGGTTTTTTTTTCCACACTGCAATTATTTTAAGTTTCGCACTACCTGATTCAAACATTTTGTATATAATAACTTAAGTATTATTATTATATATGCATAATATGCTGATTCAGTACGAGAGTATATTATGCATTCTTGCACAGAACTATTGATACTAAACTTTCATTCTCTGAATTCAAGTTAGATGTTTACATTAATGGCTAACAATACAGGTTACATTGATGCGGCACTCGTGTTAGTGTATCCAGTAATATATAACTGACCTTTAGTCTTTATACAGTGACTTGTCTTGCCTCTGTTGTAGTGGACTATTATTTTGTAAAATAGTCATATTTCAACTATTATACATTATATATGTATAAACATTATTTCTATTTACAAATAAGCTCTTAAACTTATTTTTCTTAAAACATACAACAGTCAATAAAGAAGTAAAGCAAACAACTATCTCTTCTAGTTATGACCTTTGTACTTGTTTCTGCTTGTCGTAGGTTGCTAAGCCTTGAAATTTCCTACGTGGATGATGTAAAAATAACCAAAAAATCATAAATTACTATAACAATAACATAGAATTCCACTAATTTATCAAGTGTAGTAACTAAACTGAATTTGGGTCTAAAAAATATGAAATTTCAAGATCTCTAAAGACTTTCCCCATCATTTGAAATCTTGTGTGAAAAGAAAGAAATTAGCACAATAACATGTCAAAATGGCTGAGAAAACCACTAGGAGACATTCTGAGCTTTCAATTGGTTATTCATGTCATATACAGAAGTAAGTGTATATAAGGGACCATTTCCAAAAATAGAAAGAGGTGGGCTGGGAGGCTACTGTGTTTGGTTCAGTACAGGAGCGATATCTTAGCAAATAGAAAAGATGAGACATTCTTAATTTATATTCTAGCTTGTCAATATTGATAGTTTGAGTTTCCAAATTTGTATGAAACTGTAGATTTTATATTTTGACCTCAAAAACATCTAATTTGAACCAGTGCTGCATTCAACATACCACATGACACACAAAAAATCAATGTTTAGCTGTGTTTTTTTTAATATTTACTTTTAAGAAATTAACTAAAGTATAATATTGAAGTTTGAATTATCTATAATTTGATTCTAAACTTATTGATATAGATTCATAAAAATAGTAGTTCAATAAAATTTTGAATGCAAGTCAACAAGCATGATGACATGGCCTTTGACCCATGACCTGTCGAGATAGGATTAAACAGTAACCTCAATAGATCAGAAGACTTCTGTCACTTGAATTGTTTTCAGCATTACATCTATGTCTTCAATAATAAATGAATTTAAGGTTTGCCTCTTTGGGTCTACTCATTATTTTTAAATATTAACATGCTTTGTTCCCTTTGTAATTTGAATATTGTGGTAAGTGCTTTAAAGCAGCACATAGTGTGTGTGTGAAATGTTTTCAATTAAAATTCATGTAATTCTTGATTTTTTTCTCAATTTCCTACAGGTAATGAATTTAGCCCAATATCGCCATTTCATGACATTCCAATATTTGCTGACAAAGAAAACAAAATTTACAATATGGTTGTTGAGGTACCACGATGGACTAATGCTAAAATGGAGGTAATTTGATGTAATCTCTTGACAATTCTGATTTTCTCCACTGTTTGTCTTTCAGATATTCTTTGTCAGTGGATAAAGAGATCTCTCATTATCTGAGAGTAAATCCAGTTTTGCTTTAATAGTCTTGGCATATGCATTTTATTTGTAATGAGATACATTAGATTTAAACCTTAAATTAATATGAGAATTTAATTGATATAACAATGCTCTCAATTTTTTCCTTGAGTAAGCAGCTGTAATACTCTTGGTGGGCTGATTTTGTTTTTACCAATGCATTTAGCTTAAGTAACCATTCATATAAAAAAATTTAATGATCAAGATCATATAGAAAAAAAAGTTGTCTGAATATGAATGACAGACCAAATATTATGTAATTAATTACAAGTGCTCACATTAATGAAATTAAGAAAATGTTTAGATAATTTTATGTAACTTTGAAATATATAATAGGAATAAATCAAATTATATAAAACTATTATACACCTCATGCCGTATCAACGGGTAAAATCTCACAAATTTAAGGAAAGAAATTTCACCTGCATAGAAAAGACATTATCGCCATTGCCAGTCTACATTAAAACTGAATGAACTTAACCCTTAATCATTAGCTTTATGTTAAAAGAAATACCTTCTTTTTTAACCCTGTGATACATTGTGCATTGTATTATCCCAAAAGTCACTATTCTAAAACTATTACTAAAGATAAAACCAAATCACTAAATATATAAATTCCCTTGTAATACCCAATTCAGACTATCCTTCCAGTGCCTATCAACTTTAGAATTTTGACATTTATTTGCAGGTTTGTGAAGTGGTGAGAGCTGCTTCTCCCAGTTTCAAAGTGATAAAGAAATATGGTTATGAAGGCAGACAGGTCAATAATTCAACTGTGATTGTGTTATGTCACCTTTAAAGGATTTTATTGAGTGTGGTTGCATATTATTCAAAGGGTAAATAAATATTGATAAATTGTCTGCATGTGTGATTTTTTCATGAATATCAACAAATCTGTTAGTGACCGTATTCCAAGAGCTATTGCACTGATTTTTGGACAGCAGATCAATGTGTCATTCTAAGAGGTAAATGTTTCCAGCACCAAGGATACACAGATGATTGTTTTCAAAATAAAATATATCTTTGAATGACCCACTCAGAATCCAGATTTTAACATAATAAAACATCTAGGTATTAACTGGATGGATTAACAGCAATGCCACCAAGGGGTCATTTTGACACTTTTCTGGAACATTTTTATTCAGGAAATCTTCTGAACTATATATTAAATTTTTCCACTCTATTTCATTTAGCTTATAACTAGAAGAAGGGGGTATTACAACAGGACAAATCAGTGATTCAGATTGCAACATTCCCTCTTGTAATTCTGACTCAGAATATCTAACATTCAATGTTTATTAGATGTTAGATGTCTCTGGAAATGAAAAAAAGTCTCAGCTCTCAGTGTAATCAGCTTATACTTTGCAAGATGGCAGAAATGGACCTCTAACTGCTCCATCTCCTTTACACGTAGACAATGAAATGGCTAATTATGGAATATTGTTAGTACATATTGATATTTCTGGATGAATGTGGGCTGCAAGATACAATGTGTTAGAAAATAGACTCGGACCAATTTCATCTGTCAAACATTTTGTTATTGAGGTAAATGCTAAAAAACATCTCTACAGCATATGTGATCATGAGAGTGGGAAACCACAAACAGCAAGTATCATAATCACATTGCAAAGATTCTGAGATTTTGTTTTTACATAAAGGACACCAGAAGTACTATACTCCAAACTGATAAATTTCATTACTTTCTGAGCTATGGAGCTCCATTGTTCAGAATTATTGCCCGAATGAAAACTTGTAAAAATTGATAATTTGCCTAATGCAAAGTAATAAATATGCTGTGTCTTGATTAGCGGTCAAGTCGATTCTCCTCGTAAACTGTGTAATTATGGGAAGAAATGTAAAGTGATGATCACCAAAGATCAGGTGTATCAGGCAATGAAATTTTGAATGATAAAAACCCATGAATTCAAATTCGATGACGAGGAACCCACTTTGAGACTAATAATGGCTGGAGACGGCTTGAATGGGTAATGAAGAAAAACTTTAATACAACAGCAAATGTACAACGTTTCGACAAGGTTTTGTCATCACCTGATGATGACAAAACCTTGTCGAAACGTTGTACATTT